GTTTTGCTGCTTTTATGCACGGCAAGGTCGGGGCCTGTCATGTGCCATTGTGAAGTCTTAGCTCTGCTTTTTCCTCTCCTCTGCTTCAGTTCCCCCTATTTAGGTTTTCCCAATCATGTAGATACCTTGTATTAGTTTTGGGTGGAGCTTAAAATCCCCCCCCCAGAGGCCAGCCTTAGTTGGTCTATTCCTTTTTCCTGTATAGAGCTCTCTTGCTGGACTCATCCTCTTTCTACAGCAGAGCTACTGTGACTTGGGCTTGGGGTTGTCTGGTAACCCTGGGCCTAGCAATCCAAAAACAGGCATCCTTAGCACCTGCATTCAGCAGTATTTTTATACCAGCAGTCCAAAGGATAACAGAAGCTTATGACCAGCTTATGCTTCACAAGAATGAAGATTGAGACAGTTTATAACCATCACTTTGCACCAGAGGCAGGAAGCTTTCAAAGACCCCAGAGAGATAATTGCAACCAGCAAAGGCTCCCTTTGTTCATCTTGTTTGCAGTAAACTCATTTTGGTTATGTTTCACCTTGCCTAAAGTGCCTCGGTCTGCTAAGGGTCTTAATCTTGTTTTCTACCCCGTTTCCCTATGAACTCTCCCTTGAAAATAATCTGCTCCTTTTATCTCACACTGAATTTTTAAAATCATTTTATTGTACATGCTCACTGTTATTGTAATTGTTCATTGCATTCTTATGTTTTGTTTTCATTGCTTATTGTATTCATCATATTTTTTTTGTATTTTACTGTGTTGTTGCTTGCATTTCAGTTTTATTTTATTGTATTTTACAGTATTGTAATTTGGTGTTTGGGCTTGGCCTCATGTAAGCCGTCCTGAGTCTCCGTTGGGGGGAGATGGTTTTTTGGTTGTGTCAGGAGCGACTTGAGAAATTACAGGTCGCTTCTGGTATGAGAGAATTGGCCGTCTGCAAAGCCAGGCACTATAGTTTTCCCAAACGCTCGGGCGTGCCATCACAGGTCCCGCGCCTACATGCCTCCCAAAGTGGAAAGTGTAGTTTGGGTAGCTCCGACTTTCCTCCATTTTTTGCCATGTAATGGCTGTGCATTGCTCTTTCTGCCATTTGATAGGCAGAAGGGAAAGCATCCTCTCCCATCCCCTCCATGTAATGAGGGGAGGAGGGAGGGAATGTGTGGTACCATGAGTCGTCCTGAACACCTTCCCTTTCGCCGGTGATTGCCGGCACAATGAATGGTCCAGAAGGACCGTGTAAAAAGGTGAAAAGTCACCTTATGCCTGAGGTCTATTTAACTGGAGAGAACAGAGACAGTGCCTTTTTTATATAAAAAAAGAACAAGCCTTGCAAAACATATGGAGCGTAGGATGTTGCCACTTACTGACATCACTAGAGGACTTGAGATGTTGCAAGTAGAACTGCCAGGGATTTAACCTGGGACCTTCAATATACAGAAACTCTGTTGTACCACTGAGTTGTGTCATTCCAGGCTACCACTGTGGCTATAAATATATATTCTATGTGATGTTTACTGCTTCTCCTCCTCATTGGATGCATTTTAGTTTCAATTGTTTTCTTGACCATGTTGATTTTGGGTTGGTCTGTGTTTTATGCTGCTTTTTTAAACATCATTTTTAGATAGAAACTTCATCACACTAGAGAAAAAATCCATTTAAAATCCGGTTTCTGTCTCCTGTAGAATTCTGGGGTTTGTAGTATTGCAGTAGACCAGTGTTTCTCAACCTTCCTAATGCCGTGACCCCTTAATACAGTTCCTGATGTTGTGGTGACCCCCAAACATAAAATTATTTTCGTTGCTAATTAATAAATGCAATTTTGCTACTGTTATGAATCATAATGTAAATATCTGATATGCAGGATGATTTTCATTCACTGGACCAAATTTGGCACAAATACCCGATACGTCCAAATTTGGATACTGGTGAGGTTGGGAGGGGAGAATGAGTATGTCATTTGGGAGTTGTACTTGCTAGGATTTATAGTTCACCTACAATCAAAGAGCATTCTGAACTCCACCATCAAACAATGATGGATCTGGACCAAACTTGGCATGGATACTCAGTATGTCCAAATGTGAACACTGGTGGAGTTTGGGAAAATAGACCTTGACATTTGGAAGTTGTAGTTGCTGGAACTTATAGTTCACCTATAATCAAAAAGCCCCTTGAATCCCACCAACAATAGAAGTGGGCCAAACTTCCCACACAGAACCACCATGACCAACAGAAAGCATTGGAGGGATTTGGGAGGGATTACACACCTGCTCCCTCCTCCCCACTTGAGGTCTCAGAAACAGCCCTCCCCTTGGCTGAGAGGCCAGCTGAGAGGCTGGCCAATCACAGCAGGAGGAGGGCTTTTGGTGGGAGGATTTGCTGTTTCCAAAAAGGCAGAGAAGGATAGGTGGAGAGATCTTCAGCCTTTTCTGTCAAAAGGGTTCCTAAGACCATCAAAAATATGTTTTCTGTATTCCCAAGACCATCAGAAATATGTTTCCTGTGGTCCTAAGACTATCAGAAATATGTTTTCTGATGGACTTTGGCAACTCCTCTGAAACCCCCTGGCGACCCCCCTCCCCCGGGGTCCTGACCCCCAGGTTGAGAAACACTGCAGAAGACTTTCAGTTAGCCAGCATCTGTGGGGGTTGAGAGGTCCTGGATAAATGTAGTTTCTGGTTGTTTGAGAGTTACTATTAGAAATAAGACTAAGTAATACCATACTCCAGAGTTTTCTAAACTGGTTTTTTGTGAGGGAGCAGATGCCACTACTGGAAGGAATATCTTCTGTATCAGAAACTAGAGCTGATATGATCTATCCAATGCAATTTCTGAATCAGCACCCCAAATAACCAAACCGAATCTAAAGTTGACCAAAAACTAATTCGTAACCCTTCTGGTACTAATGTTGGAGCGTGGTCCTTGGTCAAGGTGGTCCCTGGTCTCTCAACCAAAGATAGCCACCTGCATCTACAGGATCCATATGCAATCCAAGGGGTTTACCAAAAATGTTTAAAAAGAAGGGTGGCAATCGAAGTCCTCTAGCACCTTTAAAATAATATTTATTTTAGTATGATTTTTTAAATTGAATGTTCAGATGCAGTGGTGGAACACAATATTCAAACCTTCTGATACATGCCTGAGAGCTACTGGGTGTTACAGTCCAAAAGAATTAATGTTTAGAAGCTCTGTCTTTCCCTCATCTTTTTACATTTGGTGCTTAGAATTAGGCAGGGTGGGCATTTGAACAAATTACAAGTAAGGGCTTTAATTTCTGACAATATTCTCTAGCTAATATTGTTTTAATAATTTAGAAAAAAAAAAGTTCACCAAGATTCAAGAACATAAAATTGTAGTCATTCCAAAGCATTGATTTTTTACTCTCTTCATTGCAAAACATTTGAACCTGTAATCTATAATCTCCTACTATCAATTTAGTATACACCTGCAGTCTGAAGTTCTATATGATCCTCTTACCATAGGTGACCTCCCTCTCGCTTCTCATAAACACAAACTCTCACCCCATGAAAACATTTAATCTTTGTTCATTAGGAATGAAACAATGGAGAGTATTTTATCCTCACAGATTATAACCTGGTATAATCACTTGTCCAAAACATTTTGTCAACGTAGGTTCATCAACAATTATCTCTCTCATAATCATACATAGCAAAGTTAACTTCAGTTCTTTGGGTACACAAAGTATAGAATTCTGCAGACAATCCTCCATCCTCTCTCATTGTAAAAATACAATAAAGTCAAATTAAACAGCTAGAAATGATCTTTCATGACCTTCTGAATCTACTATTATTATTTTATTTTTTTATTTATGACATTTATATCCCGCCCTTCTTACCCGTCCTTCTCACCCCAAAGAACTATGCTAATATTATATTAATAGCACAATATTAGCATTATATATTACTATATTGTACTATACCACTATACTGCAATATTATTAGTAATATTACATGTAATATAAAGTATATATTTATTATATTATTATATTGTATTATTAGTATTATATATTATTATATTGTATTATTAGTATTATATTGTATTACAATATTATGATCAATATTATATGTGCATACATAATATTATAATTATTAGCATAGCACAATAATAGCATTATATATTACTACATTGTACTATACCAGTATACTGCAATATTATTAGTAATATTACATGTAATATATAATATACAATTATTATTTCATATTATTATATTATATTATTATTATCAATATTATATGTATACACAATATATTATATTATTAGCACAGCACAATATTAGTATTATATATTACTATATTGTTGCTGAGGGGAGAGGCTCCGAAATAATGACCCACTGTAAGTCAGGAAGGATAAGTACACAAATACTATGAAATTACATCTTTCAAAGAACTTTAGGTTCCTGCTTCACTTTGTTTAACTGTTGTGATCATTGTTATATCACTGCTATACTATATTATCATTGGCCATATGGAACCCATTGGCAATAGGGAAAAGTTATTCAACATATTTGTAAAAGTAGTTCCCCAAAGTAACGTTTTCCATGTTGCAACAACCAACATTAATTCTGTTATATCACTGCTATACTATATCATCATTGACCATATAGAACCCATTGGCAATAGGGAAAAGTAATTCAACATATTTGTAAAAGTAGTACCCCAAAGTAACTTTTCCATATTGCAATTGACTATCAGTTGGCCAGCTGTGCTCGAAACTGTATCAATCACCTCTCTTTCCAAAGACAGAGAAAGAACCTAGGAACTGAATTTCTCAGTAAATTTGCCAACATTTTTTTGCAATTTCCTTGCTGAACTAACTCCAAACTGATATGCACACTTGAGAAGCACATTCTCTCCCATAAGCCCAGAAAGGTTATTTTTTCTTCTGGAAACAACATCCTACATCCCCAGGAATCAAGGTCACTGGCAGTGCCCAAAGTAACTCCTCCAAACTCGAAAGCTCCTTCCAACTAACCAGCAAAATGAGACTTACCTAGAATCCCATGCAGAATCCTTGCTGCTCCTTCCTCCGGCAAGTATTGTCCCAGAAAGCCAGACGAGGCTCAGACTCAGCCGAGGGTACCAGGATATGCCAGCCCCAGTGGCTGGCTAAAGCCAGGGCTGATCAGTCTACAGCAAGCCAAAGACTATCCCAGAACAATGGGGCTCCTGTGTAGCCTTCATTGTAAGGAGGAGCAGTGGCAAGAGATGTCAGGATGAAGTGATGCACAGATGTGCCTGACGTGGTGGCCAGACTTAAGTATGAAGGGGGCGGGGGGAGTGGAGGGGAACATGGATCAGGAGGAGAGAAAAGGGGGTGAATTATGAATGCAAATAGGAATCTACAAGGGTTGAATGAAAAATAATGCCTCCACCTTTGTTACTTGGGTTTGGATGGGAATCTTTTAATCAATCAAATGCAGAAATAATTTTTAGAACACGCTCTTTAACTACCTCTATTCACTTTTCCAGATAATCATGACAGTTGGATACATTTCTGGCAACGATTAACAAGTTTTCTAAAGCCGTTATGGAAGAAGCTGACACTCTGTTTCCGCAACCAACGTCTCACAGTTCTCTCAATGTCTTCATCAGAAGCATAATGATGTCCCAGCAGATCTTCTTTCGTTATCGGGAATAGATGGAAGTCAGACAGTGCTAAATCTGGACTGTATGGACAATGTTGTATGGTGATGAGATCCAGTCTCTGAAGTTTCAAGTCTGTGCACTTTCATTTCAGGCGTCAGCATCCTGGGTACCCTCACAGAAGCACCACAACACAGCTGTTCAATGCTAAGGCTTCCCGCCAAAATGGAACTGTAGAGGAGAGTCTACTGAACAAGCCAGTACCCTGAGGTGGATCGTCCATTACGCAAAGTAAGTGGTCGCAGAACACTTCTTTTTGCCAGGGGCACAGAGATGCCTCTGTAAATGCCCCTCTGCCACCATTTGAGGAGCGCCCCCTCAGCTCACAACAGCCCTAGCAGTCTGGGGGACCCTCGGCTTTCTTGCCTTGCTGCTGGGCGATCCTCTTCCCAAAGGGGCTGGGCCCTTGAGCCTCGCCTAGCCCCTCTCGTTCCTGCTCCACCCGGCCACCGGGTGCGTGAGCAGAGCCGGCACTCAATCGTTCTCCGCGTTCGATCCCTTCCCCATGACCGGCTCCCTTTCCCGATCCCCCGGCGCTCCACCCGCCTCCTCTCCTCTCCCCATCCGCAGGTGGGCCAAGGGGGGGAGCCGCCGGCCCGCTTGGTCCGGAGGCATGTCTGAAGACCACAGCGTGCGCACCAAAAGTTGCCTCTTCTCCTGACTTTCTCTTCCGCCATTGGGACCAAGAGAGAAAGAGAGGCCCTCTGGCTGGAGGTATCTCTGCTCCCTCCTTTGTTTTTGCGCCTACCTTCAGGAAGGGTGGGCATCTCCACCTCTCTCTCTCTCTCTCTCTTGGTCCCAATGGCTGAGGAGAAAGTCAGGAGAAGAGGTGACTTTTGGTTCACACGCCGCCTCCGGACCCAAAGCGGGCCAGGCAAGGGAACAAGTGCGGCAAGTGTAGTTACTGGGATGTATAGTTCACCTACAATCAAAGAGCATTCTGAACTCCACCAATGATGGAATTGAACCAAATATGGCACACAGAACTCCCACGACGAACAGAAAATATATATCAATGATTGGTTGGGGGGGGGGGGCGCCAAAATACTGCTTACCGTTGAAAATTACCTAGGGCCGCCTCTGCCAGTACCTGCCGCATACCAGTACTGCCATCTGTTGAAGAGTTACGAAGGTGGAGGCATTACTTTTCTTTCAGCCCTCTTAGAGTGGGGATACCATAGCTTTCATGTTTAGAGAGCTCCCCCATCTTTAATATGTTATGAGAGACAGAAGTCAATGGCTTGGATTGAATGAGTAGAGCATCCAAGCAATTGCAGAGTGCTTGTCTGAAAATTTGTGTTTTGCTTTTGTCCCAATTCAAGGGTGCTTGTGGAAGTCATGCCAGTAGTTCATGTGTGTGCTGAGTTCATGGTGGAGTCTAAACCGTATGACATCATGTATAGCTGATTATATGGAACTTCTTCCTAGCAAGGTGCCAGTTCTGTGAATTGATCCTACACAGGGTCTGCATAGGATTATATCTAAATGAGAACTTGGATGTTATATATTCTATTGCAGGCATCCTCAGAGGTTGTGAGGTCTGTTGGAAACTAGGCAAGTGAGACTTATATATCTGTGGAAGGTCCAGGGTAGGAGAAAGGACTCTTGTCTGCTTGATGCAAGTGTGAGTGTTGTAATTGGCCACTTTGATTAGCACAGAATGGCCTTGCAGCTTCAAAGCTTGGCTGGTTGCTGCCTGGGGGATCGTTTGTTGGAAGGTGTTAGCTGACCCTGATTGATTCTTGTCTGGAATTCCCCTGGTTTTTTTTTTTAGTGTTGTTCTTTATTTAGGGCCAGCTAACGCCTCCTAACAAAGGATACCCCCAGGCAGCAACTAGTCGGGTTTTGAAGCTGCAAGGCCATTCAATGCTAATCAAGTTGGATCCTTCCCAATTCACAAATATGGGAAAAAGAGAGAGTGGCAGTATAACACAGGGTTCAAAGCTCAGGAGTAGTGAGTTACAAGTAATGTTGTTAACTATAACTAGTTGGTTTTGTGTAACAATATCGTGCATATTAAATCCAATATAACAAATAAGAGCAAATTTACTTTACTGGTGCAACAAATAACAGACTCTTGATATCTTCAAAAGTTACTTTGAAGGGCTTTGAGGAACAGTTTTCAAGTTTTATGTAATTCTTTAAATAGTCCAAAGGACCTGCTCCTCCAAAAGTAATATCAAGTACAGTTAGTTTTCCATATTTGCTGCGATTATTTGCAGAATCTCCTTATGTTTATGTTACCATCAACAGGTTGTTCATCTTGCCAAAGCTCCAGAACTGGGAATGAGTGTTTTGCAAGAAAATGTTTGCATTATTTCATGTGCTATTTAATTGTTGAGCCATTGTCCTAGAAAAGCCCATGCATGATTTGAAGGCCTTTTTTTGTGTCAGGAGCAACTTGAGAAACTACAAGTCGCTTCTGGTATGAGAGAATTGGTATGAGAGAATCTGCAATGATGTTGCCCAGGGGACGCCCAGATGTTTTGATGTTTTACCATCCTTATGGGAGGCTTCTCTTATATCCCTGCATGGAGAGCTGGAGCTGACAGAGGGAGCTCATCCACACACTCTCTGGATTCGAACCTGCGACCTATTGGTCTTCAGTCCTGCGGCACAAGGGTTTAACCCTTTGTACCACTGGGGGCTCCTATTTCAAGGCCTGATCAGCAATTAATTTGGGGTTTTTTGTACCCCTAGGGCAGCTGCTATAGAAGGGACTGGCTCAATGCCCGTTGGCAATATCATCAGGCATCTGCCATGGCTCATGCTCTAGCGTTCCCCCTTTCTTTCTTCACCGTCAATCACTTCCTTCCCTTCTCCAAACATCCTATTTCTTATCCTAGAAGTTTTTGCTATCTGTCCAGGTTGATGTGGTCAAGCCGTAGACACAGAAATATCTGGCACTGGGGAGAATTGAGAAGGTGGGGGGATCTTCGAAAGAGAAGCAGCAACGCTTTCTAATCTGAAGCTATAGACTTTGGGTCCTTTGTGGCAAAGACTGAGGAGGACAAGAGGATTTATGGTCCTGGAGAGAGCATGAAAAGGCATTTGTGCTTCTGGGAAAGATACATTTTGGCCTAGAACAGAAAATACACATAAAAATATTCATGGAAAAGATGTTATTCAAAACACAGTGTTATCTTAAAAGAGGCAAGCACCCTCCGCCTTCAAGGGAAGCCTACATCCTTTGTGTCTCAGGATTAGGATGAAAACTACTAGCATGTGCACCAAGCATTTTTTTAACTTTGTGATATCTTCTCCTGGTGAACATTCCTACCTGCCCAGGTGATCTGTATCTCATTTCCTTTGGGTGTTGTGCTAACCAATAGCAAGAGACCTCTGCATACTCTTTCCTAAAGAAAAAAAAGTCCATGGAATTCGTGGGGAAAGTTAAATGACAACTTAAAGGGAAAAACACACATAACTAGCACAGACCATCAGTTGAAATTGAGTGTCTGAATTAATCACACCTGAATCTTGTATTATTTATGGGAAAAACAATATATGAATTTATGGCATGTTTTACAGCTCATTCTCCCTTCATTTTGTAATTTAGTCTAATTTGTTTTTATATCCAATATTTCTTAGAAATAAAAAATATTATGTTTTATATGGTAGCTTTATGCTAAAGGGATAATGCTAAGCCTTTTTCTGTATTGATGTGAGGAGATGCATGTTTATATGCACGGTGTTGTAGCACAGCAAGCATCAGAGGATTTGCCAGAGGATGAGGGGGATGATGGGTTTCTAAATGAGGAGTCTGTGTATGATAGGAGAGAATTGGAGGCAGAGGAGACCGATGATTTGAATTCTTGTGCTCATTCTCAGGCAACAGGGGAAAGTGAAAATCCTTGGGCTGATGGGGAGTTTTCTCAGGAAACCAGATTAGGCCTGAGAATGGAGGGAATAAAAAACAGACAAACTAGATATTCTCACAGAATCCGTGAGAACACGTTGAAGTCCAGGTGTGTATTGACAGGAGCCAATAGGAAAAGGGAACAAGGACTGGGTTGCAGAGAAAAGCATCTTGAGCCAAGTGGCTCACCTTTTGGTCTTTTGTGTATTCACCGGGGTAACTTTATTGCAAGGAGGCAAATCTGTGGGCTCTCAGGTGCAAAAAAACTGCATTCCCATTATCCCTTACTATTAGCTCTGCAGATTGTTGGGAATTGCAGTGGCTTTATTGGTTTGGAATTGGGGTGCAAGTACATAACAATATAATATGGAAAGACTAGTCATTTCACATAGGGTTGCTACAATAAAAACTAGGAAGGACTTCTTCAACTTTTAATGGTTATGCAAATAGGGGTGTTTCTGCTTACCATGCAACCAGCCAACCTGCAACATTGGCTGAAAGCATGAAAGATATACTGTAGGTGGCAAATGTAGTCCCACATAATACAATCTATATGATCTGGTAACCTCATTGGAAAATAGTTACCTCAGAGCAAATTACAGTCTTCCCCCACTTTTGATGCTTTGATTTCTAATGACACACACTTTTAACAGTTGCAAATTACATACACGTTCCATTAATATGATGAAGGGTCTGTTATTTCATCATTTTTTTTTTGCTTACAAGAATTA